TGTTTGGAGACGGACGTGAATTTAAAGGGAATATGAGCTTTTTTCCCTCAAGAAGGGAGGCCTTTAGCTTATCTTAGCAAAGATCTATGTCCTCAACATTTAACTCTTTCCATTTATGAAAAAGAGTATCTCATGATCTTGTTGCCAATATCTAAATGGCGACATTATTTAGAAGCTGATCCGTTCATAAATAAGACTGATCATGAGCCTTTGAAATATTTCAGGAAAATACTCACAACCACTTTTCAGAAAAGAGGATTAACAAAATTATTGGGGTTGGATTACGTGATACAGTACAGGAAAGGGAAGACCAATTGGTGGTTGATGTGTTGTCAAGACAATTTAAGGGGAAAAAATAAAACTTTCACCAAATGGGAATCACTAGAATCACTCCTAGTTGGGTTCAGGAGGAAGAAGACATTTATGTAAACGATGAGCTTGCAACATAATCGATCAGCACTTTGACAATAACCCCAGTTACAACTGAAAAATGAAAGTTCTCTAGATGAGTTTTGAGATACAAGGATAGAGTGTATATTGGAGCAACAAAGGATTTAAGGTTGCAATTGTTACAAACACTTTACGATTCTCCATAGAGAGGACATTCGAGTATCCAGACTACTTATTAACGAGTAAAATCTTATTTCTATTGACAAGGGCTTAAAAGGATGATTAATAACTATGTTTGACAGTGTGATACGTGTCAAAGGACAAAGGTAGATATATGGCTAAGACTTGTCGTTTTCAACCCTTACCAATACCTCAACAAGCATGGAGATAAGTAATATGGACTTTATTGAAAGGATACCCACTTCTATAAAATCAAACTATATCTTGGTGGTAGTTGATAATGTTTTTTCAAATATGTTCATTTTTAGCATTTTCCCTCCTTATACAGTGGTTGATGTTTCTAAATTATATTTGAATCAAGTTTATAAGTTACATGCCCAGCCTAAGATGGTCATATCTTATGGGGACAAGACCTTCACTAGCCTCTTTTAAAAGGAGTTAATGAAGTAGTTGAACACAAAGACACTCTTTAACACATCTTACCGTTCTAAAATAGAAGGTCAAACTGAAAGAGTGAATCAATGTTTAGAACAATACCTAAAGGGTTTGTGCTTTTTAAAGCCTACCTATTGGGTCAAGTGGCTATCCCATGCTGAGTGGTGGTACAACACAAACTACCACATAATAATGAAGTTAACCACATTTGAAGCCTTGTATGGTTGCAAGCCTCCTACGGTTGCAACCTCCTACTATGGTCTAGAATACTACATCTATAGTACTGGGTTGGATGAAATATTAGAAGACAGAGAGAAGTTGCAAACCAATATCAGAGATCAATTACAACATGCCCAGAATCGAATGAAGCAACATGCAAATAGAAACATAAGTGAAATAAGTTTTCAAGTGGGAGAAGAAGTGTACTTAAGTTACAATCATACAGACAACCTCAAAGTTATCTGTAAGGTATTATGACACATATCGAATTTTGCAAAAAAAAAAATTGAAGAGGTTGATTACAAATTAGACTTACCAGATCATGCTCACATCCATCTTGTCTTTCGTGTAAGCTATCATAACTCAAGGTTTACCCTGCCAAAATCTTGAACAAACGGATGATTAAGTGTCATAATCAGGCAGTCACTCAGTTACTAGTGTAGTGGGTTAATATAGGATCCGAACATGCGACATGGAAAGATTACGTAGTTCTTCATTTTCAGTTTTTGGATTTCGATCTTGGGATCAAGGATATGCTGATGGGTAGGGTATTGTCATAAATGAGGAAGAAGATTTAGGGTTTATAAATGAAGAATTGAGAATCGAATTATTTTGGAAAACAATTTCTGGAAACTATTGTATAAACCAATTTACACTTGTTTGATACATTGTAATTAATTTTATGGAAAATGATTTACATAGATTGAATTAATTGAAAATTGATTTACATAAAATGAATTATTTGAAAATTGTTTTCGGAAAATATTTTACGATATTTGAATGATGTTATGTAAATAATTTATAGTTGATAAATTTTCATATTATAAATATCAAATATAATAAATTATTATTTTACTGCCGAGACCTCATGGAATAACAACAATCCCTTTACCACAAAGACCTATTGGTTTGTGCAATATTATATAAATATTAAATATATAAAATAATATTATTCATTATTAATGATTTAAAAATATTATTTTTATAAAAATAAAAAATAATATTAATTGTATTAATAATTTATTAGATATTATTAAATTAAAAATATGATATCATATAATATTATAATATAACTTAGCATATATTAATATAATATTAAAAAGTATAATATTATTAAAATTACATTAAATATTTTAATAGTTAATTCTTTTATTAAAATAATGCTAAATATTATATTAATATTAAATAAATAAAATAATAATATTTTGAGTGTTTATACTCTAAAGTGAAAAGTTAAGAAAATGTCTTATGAAAAATCAAATAGTAAAACATTTTGTTGAAAAAACACATAAACTAAAAAATTAAATTACATTGATTATAATCAATTACAATGATCAAATATTGAAAAAATACAGAATCAATTATAATTATTAAATATTAAAAAATAAGTTTTCTTAAAACCAATTACAACAAAAGAAAAAACCTGAATGCTTAAAAAATATATGAAAAGAAACAAATAAAAAAGAAAATATTTATTTAAACCTAAGTAAAACATATGGCTCTAGAATAAATTAAAATAAAAAAATATATTATAAGTTGAGAAAAAAGCGGCTCACGTACATTATAAAAACCAAAACTTTTGAACTTCCCCCCTTAAATCCGCTCATTGTCTTGACCCCTTCATCTCCTTCCTCTTTGCATCTCCTTCTCTCCATTTGCTGCCCCCATTCGTGTGTCTCCCAAAATAACCCGAAACCAACAATGGGAAAGGGCGGATCTTTGAGTAACAGCGTCCTGAGGAACATCCTCTTCTCCTACGCCTACGTGGCCATCTGGATCTTCCTCAGCTTCTCCGTCATCGTGTACAACAAGTACATCCTGGACAAGAAGATGTACAATTGGCCTTTCCCCATCTCCCTAACCCTCATCCACATGTCCTTTTGCTCCACCCTCGCTTTCCTCCTCATCAAGGTCTTCCGATTCGTCGACCCCGTCTCCATGTCTCGCGATCTTTATCTCTCTTCCGTCGTCCCCATCGGCGCCCTTTACTCTCTCAGCCTCTGGCTCTCAAATTCTGCTTACATTTACCTGTCTGTCTCCTTTATTCAGATGCTCAAAGCCCTCATGCCGGTGGCCGTTTATTCTATCGGCGTTCTTTTCAAAAAGGAGACGTTTAAACCGATACGATGGCCAACATGTTGTCCATATCCCTCGGGGTCGCCATTGCTGCTTACGGTGAAGCTAGATTCGATACCTGGGGAGTGATTTTGCAGCTGGGAGCCGTTTCTTTTGAGGCTACTAGGTTGGTCATGATCCAAATCTTGCTTACTTCTAAAGGGATCACCTTGAATCCCATTACTTCTTTGTATTACGTTGCGCCTTGCTGTTTGGTTTTCTTGTTGGTGCCATGGATTTACGTTGAGTTCCCGGTTTTGAAAGAGGCTTCGGATTTTCATTTGGATTTTCATCTTCGGTACCAATTCTCTGTGTGCTTTTGCTTTGAATCTATCTGTGTTCTTGCTTGTTGGAAAGACGTCTGCTTTGACCATGAATGTGGCTGGGGTTGTCAAGGACTGGCTGTTGATTGCCTTCTCATGGTCTGTGATTAAGGATATGGTGACGCCCATCAACTTGTTCGGGTACGGGCTGGCGTTTTTGGGTGTTGCTTACTATAATCATTCCAAGTTACAGGCTTTGAAGGCTAAAGAAGCTCAGAAGACGACTGCACAGACTGATGATGAAGCTGGGAGGTTGCTCAAGACTACAGATGGTGAGGAAACTGGATCCAGGAATTAGATGATGACGATGATCAAATAAGGGCTAAAAGAGACGGATTTGGATGATGATCACAAGCAAATGCTGCTCTTTTGGCTGCGTTTGGGTTTTGGTATGTTGGTTTACAGTTCTCCAATTCATTTACATAAGCTAGCTGTTATGGCCATTTCTTACTAATATTAGGGGCTGGAATTAACATCTGTTGCTTCTTGCATGATTGGTGTTGACGGAGGAAGAAGAATCTCAAGTGCTATTGTATTTTGTTTGGTTTGCTGTTTTATTTAATCTGTTATTTATTTACCATCGTCTTAAGGTTTAAATGATTAAGTAGAGTTTGAGTGTTGTTGAACTCGATTCAACTAGAAAAGTTTAAAATTGGATTCGACTCAAAAGTCTTAAAATTATTATATTTGACTCCAACTCAAAATCAAAAAATTAGAACTCAACTCAACTCAAAAGCTTACGAGCTTAAAATTATTAAGTTTGACTTAAATCGAAATCAAAAATTAAAACTCGACTTGAGCTTGAAAAAACTTTAACTCGAAACATGCTCAAACTTAACTCAATTGAAGCTTAAAGTTAAGTTTAGTTCAAGCTCGAACTCGAGCTCGGTTCAAGTTCAAACTCAAACCTGAACTTTAAGTACATTAACACCTTATATTATGCTTGAAAAAAACATATGAACGTGTATATTATTGATTATTTAATTTAAAAAAAAAAAAATTCAAATATTATTTCTCAAGTTCTCCGCGAGCTTTTCTAGTTAGTGTCATGTAGCTCACTTTGACTAGTTAAGAACTCAAATCAAAGTTTAATCGAGTCTATACTATTCAAATGTTGATCAAACTTTAACAAAATCAAATTTGAATAACTCACAATTGTTTGGTCATTTTCAGCCCTAGTCTCATCCTTCTGATCCTTCTAAGGTATCTTTTGAAGTTAGAACATTTTGCCTACTCCAAATACCCTTTTCATGGAGGAGCCGGTACCTTCCATTGCTTAGCAAAATGTAAAACAACGAAGCTAAGGAACAAAATTGTGGAGCCTATCAAAACAAGCTGTTCACATCACAAACAAATGCAAGCCACCAAGTTGCTTCTCGATTACTCCGAGAATTAAGCATGAATCATGCTGTAAGTAAACAACACATTTTCGTTGAGAATATATCTGATTCCCAATCATCAATCTTCATATTTATCTTCATAAATTCAATTGGTGCAACTATATTTTCTTTTTTTACAAAATAGTGCAATAAAAATGGGGGACGGAAGCTAAACTATCAAGTACCACCCCTTCCAACTAAGGGACTTAAACACTCAATGCCACCGGATCTTGCCATGTTATCTTTCGTTTCCCGACTCTGTTCGGGCCGTTTCCGGTGTTCCAGCAGGTGGATAGTTTAATATCGTTGTGCTGCTCGTCATTTCCGATTCGGATTGAACTTTTCTTGAGTTCCTCTATTCTCAGTGAGTTATCATTAGCCTGTAGTTCTTCCTGCTCTGTCTGCAATGGAATAAAAGCCAAGAAGAAATCAGATCAAGATCAAAGACTTAACATGAAAATTTACAGACAATCACTCATACTAACTGCAAGTAGATTACCGAAATCTGGTTTAAATCAAAAACCAGTGCCATGCTTCGAGCAGCAGCCTCATTTTCGCTGTAAAGCCTTTCCTTCTGGTTCAAGTTGAGAGCCGGTAAAGAACTCCGCAGAGTAACTTCCGCCTCTTGACAGAAAACTTTCTGCTGCTTTTAGGTTTAAGTCGATCATCGGAGAAGGTCGAGTGAGTAAGGTTTCCTTTTCACTACAAGTCTTTCCCCTCTGGTTCAAACCAAAACCTGTAGCTAGGTGTCGCAAAGAATGTTCCTTTCCCGTTGATCTCTTTCCCTTCATATTCGGTTTGCTTCTAATCACCATACTCTGCGGCAGTGCGAAGAACCGTTCCGCCAGAGCGTTTGAAGATCGGGTTTGCATCAAGAATTTATGCCTCTTCTTCAAAAACCTAAGTACAAAACTCAAAATACTAATTCCATATTAATAATCACAATGTTAATGTTATGCAAATCATACAAATTTATGGAGGAACAAGATCATTACCGGACTTCAGCCAACAGAGTCGATTTTCGTTCTTTCAACATCTGCAATTTCTTTCTCATGGCCTCTGTTTCCTAAAAAAACACACATCAGAAATAGTTGAGATTATAACCAGGTCTATAAACAAACTAGCCATTCCATAAACAGAAAAAAAATTGATGCAACATGAAAGCCATGAAATTTGAGAATTTTGATGCAAAAAATCAACAATTTTATTATCAAACATTGCAGTAAACAATATATACAGTCATGTTGATCAACCAACCACCTGAAAGCTCACTGGACCGTCATTTGAAACAATAAGATCCAAACGATCATGTCCGATTCTTATTCTTAAAAGATTCAAGACATGAACATGTACCAAAGAAAACCCAGAAGACTAAAAACAAGGATCTAATAAGAACAAAAGCAACTTAAAAACTAAACAATCAGCAAGAAAGTCATTACCTTGTGTAAGTCTTGAAAGTCTTGCATAAGGCTCTGGTGCTTGAACCTGGTTCTTTGGTCCTCATACATGGCATATGGAGAATACTCCAAAGAACCAGCAACCGCTATCATCTTCTTCATGGTTCAGAACACAGGGATGATATTAAGAAAAGAACCCCCCACAAGGGCTAAAATAAGCAAATATTGAGAAGAGACAGGGAAAAGAATGAGAAGGAATAAGGGTAATTGATAAGAATGAATGAGATGTGGGCATGAAATGATAAAAGGGAAAGAATAAATGTAGAGAGAGGAAGGTTCTGGCTTTCCTGTTCAATCTGAAAACTCTGACCAAGACAAAGAAGACCACATATAACTGGGTCAAAAAAATGTAACTTTAGAGAGTTGAGACGGTGATGAAGATGGCTTTTTTCGAGTGGTTGCAGAAGGGTAATTCTGGTAAACATGGGTTTTTGGATGGAGCACATTTGAAGACATCTACATTCTATATCTTCTCTATCTTTGCTTTTCCTTTTATTTTGGTTTTCTTCCTACTAAACAATAAATTCTGGTCCAGCTGATCTGAGCTAGACCATTGAAAGAAATAGAGAGTTTGGTGATGCGTGGACTCTTGGAGGGTGCGTGGAGTTTCCATGCTTTCTTTTTGGTTCGCTGAAAATAAAGCAATGAAGATAAAATAGGATTACGATGCTGTTTTTCTGATGTGTTTGTTCTTCTTGTCTTGTTGGTGCTGCTGTTGGGGACGGGTGTTCAGCTTCTCAAGGTACCTTATTTTTAGGCTTTGACAGGCGCTAAGTGATGGTTCTTTTTTGGAATAATGGCACCGTTAAACCCTCTTCTTTATTATATCTTTTAATACTTTATTATACTTTTTAAATATTCCATGTAACCCTATTCTTTTTAGAGATGTAAAAAGTAGATCCGACCTACAAAACTAACTGAAATCAAATTGAGTCAAAATTGTTTTTGACCCGTGGTGATTATGATATGAAATCGATTTGAGTTCAAACTGTTGTTAAATTGAACCCGAGATGGACCTGAAAATTGTGGATCTAAACTCAACTTGCACTCGATCTGAGAACGTCATGAACCCAAATTAAATCGATAATATGATAATCGAATCGACCTGCATCCTACTGATATGAACCCGAACCTGAGGTTAACATGATAAATAAATGGTATTATCCGACATGTTATGAACATAATATGTATTTCATCAACCTATAACTGATCTAATATTTACTTTACTTATAAGTTACAATTGATGAAATTGTGAGATTTTGAATTTGTGATAGACTACGATAATTAAATTAATATGATTAATTTAAATCAAATAATTAGCTATGATAATTAAATTAACAAAATTTACTTTCTATATTAATTATAATCCTTATATTATAAATCTTAATTATAACCATTAAATTAATTTTATTAAATAATTTATCTATTAAATATGATTTTATTAGATTATATAAAATTAATATAAATATTTATAACTTTAATTTATTTTTATGTAGTAATTGATCAAAAATTTAAATATAATTTAACTTAAATTTTTTATATATATATACTTATGCACATATATATATATTTGAAAAATATTTTTAGGTTAATAATTAGATAATAAAATAAAAAATATTAAATTAAAACTTAAAACAATAAAATTAGGGGTTTTGTTTTGCAAGCCCACTTTATTTTGAAACCTAAAAAAACCATGGCCTCGAAAAAGATTATTACCACCACTTATGTGTGAAATTGGAGGGAAATTTTGACTTTTTAATTGCTTTTTAGGAAAGAAAACCAGAAATTAATGAGGAGTGTTTTTAAAGAGAATATTTATTTTGTCACATTAGCAATATATGGCAAGGAAGCACAAATCTATTGTGGTTGTTAGATTAAGATTGAATCTAACGACCGAGAATCATTCTCTTTATTCTGATTGGTCATCTCCCATTGTCAATGCGTAACCGACGTGTGTGGCTCACGTTGTAACACTCTAATCTGATTCGATCCAAGGTTCGAATGATTAGAATGTCACACAAAACTACCTAAGTGGCTAACCTTTTTTTAATTAGAATGTCATATATTTATGAAATGACATTAATAATAGTCATAAAATACTTTTACAAACCAGGGCTCCGTGATATATACTTTAAATCAAAATAATAAAATCTTAGAGTTTAGAAATATGAATACAACAAAAAAGATCCTATGAATACACATGCCCACTACAAGTTACCGAATAATACTCTGTGAGAAATGCTTGAAATTCTACTACAACAGTGCTCCTCGAATGGCTCAATACTAACCTACGAACAAAAACACATTCATTAAGCTGAGCTCACAAGCTTAGTGCCACATAAATAACCCTACTACATTACATGCATCCAACAAGTAAGCATGCTACAACTATGGTTATGAACATTGCATACAATATCACAACAACAAGAATAAGCATCATGATGTATCTCGGGGTCACTTAGCATCACGGAACTCACACCCCTTTTGCTTACTAAGAACCTTAGGCGAGACCTGGGTCTCACATCAAAAACGTCTCCCTATAACTCGAGCTGATTTTGGGTCACATAACGTCGAAAACTCACTTGGTTTGTTTACTCTTCTAGACTAATGGGATATGTCTGGTCACTTAGCATCGACACCCCATCCAACTAGCATTCATAGTGCCCAAGCACTGACTTGGATATATCAGGATAATCTTTTACTCAACTAGACCAACGTCGTACACAAGTAACTCGGGTGTCCTAAACGTTTTCCTGAGCATCAAGCAAGGCATAAGTCTTATGAAATCTTACCTCATAGAGATCTTATGTTATCAAACATTTGTTAAAGTTCTCACTTGCAAGCTTTTATTAGTGCTCCCCTTTGATTCTAACCATTACCCGAATCCCTTAAAGAAATGGGGTTTACAACCATTATTATCATGTCAGTATCGATACTCTGTCGCATAGTTTTGGTACTTGCCTCATTGTGGTACCAATATTGTCACGAGTATTGGAACGATTTGGGTATACTAGAAATCGCAAAATTTTCTTATTTTTGATAATGAACCACGAGTATCGATACCCTATGAACAGTACCAATATCTCAAGAACTAAGTATCAATACTTCTAACAAAACCCTTTTATTTTTAGCCTAGTAGACGAAAGGTACCAGTACTATTCCTATACTACTGATACCCCAAACCCAAGTTATCATGTCTCTCAAAAGTGTAACACTCTAAATATCTCCTAAGACCCTCCCAAGGTCCCCCAACATTGTTTAAAGCTTATGTAGGTTCAAATGATTATAAAAGATCTTTGCATTATGCATGAATAAAATCAAGTACCCATTTTCATACTAGAACCCAAATGCACCACCCAAATGCTTCATACACTTATACAAACAACCATATTACACATGTTGAGGTATAAATAATAAAGAAGGGTTAAAAGTACGTTACCTTACAACTAGGATCCGGAGAAACAACCTTAAGCTCACCCAAACACCACTTTCTCATTTCTTTTGCTCTTGGAGCCTTCCTCCACTTCTCTCACTAGAATAACATGGAAAAAGTCATTAACCCATCAAATAACTTAGAAGATGTAGAAACGTGATTTTAAACCTTAAAATGAGTTAGAACCACTCTAAGGTTCTAAAACCTTAAACGTCTCTAAAACTCCATATTGATCACCATAACCAACATATGAGAAAATGGGTTTGAATTGGAGTGTTAGGAGTGAAGGTTACTATAGATAGTCATTTTTGTCCCACATTATATCCATATCCATATTATTATTATTATTATTAAATAATAATTATATTATATTACAAGCCCAACTACAAATTAAACATGGGGCCCAATTATAACCTGGAGCCCCATTTACAACCAAACTCGGGACCAAGCCTTTAAACCCAACCCAAATACAAAACAGGTTCAGAACCTGATCCAATCCCAAAATTCAAGCCCAAGAAGTCCAATCAGTAGACCCAGCAACTAGGGTTTTCCACCATCAACTACCAGTCGCCTGCCCTCAACCGTTGGATCTGTGATAGATCCAACAGTCCATATGTGATTCTAGAAACCCTAGGGTTTCATCATAACCCTAGGGCTATGTCAACTGTCGACTAGCCTGAGGATAAGCTGTCAGCCGCCACCTCTAGTGCATGAGCTCCTCTCAGCCACCTCCACATAAGCTGCCGCTGTTAAAGACTACATGCCATATCCAGAAGATCTGGGTGCATGAAATACACCCAACCAACTCACCAGACTCCTCATGGCCTCCCCTAGTCGTAGTCGCCCCTAGTCACTACCATAGCCTGATGACTCAAGGGGTTTACCCCTTTGACTGGTTTGTAGGGTGATTCAAAGAGCCTTATAAAAGGGACTCGATGATACTTGTAAAAAGGACAGGAAAAAAGCAAACAGAGAGACAGAGGTCCATTCGAAAGAAAAAAAATAAACCAAAACACAGAAAAGAAAAGGAATGAGAGATTTGCCTCACTTTCATCGGAGTCCTCAAACCATCACCGGAGTCAGATTTTTCGAAGGTAAAACACCTAGATCTAGACCGATTGACGGGGTTTTAGGACGAGAGAGGTTAGATTCAGATTAAGGAAGAGGTGATCTTCGATTTGGGGGTTTTCCTAACTTCAGCCACCGTCGACGGCGATGGAGAATGTCAGCGAACGGTGGCCGATCTCCCTCCTACGAGGGAATGAAGAGTGAAGGCAAAGAGAATGAAATTCTCTCTTTTTAGAGAGAGAAAAAAGGAAAAATGAGGGGTTGAGAGGCCTTAAAGATCGGTTTTGGGGGTATAAATACCCCTTCTCAAATGACGTCGTTTTAAGGGGGTATCTGCGTATTTAGTATATGGGTAAATCATTCCCACGGTCCCCTAGCTTTGTAACTTTCCATTTTGGTCATTGAATGAATGTTTCCTGTATTTTAATTTGGTTTTCAAATTTTGTTTTGTTTTCATTTTAGTCAGTAAACGTGTTTATATATATTTTTTGTAAAATATCCAATCTAGTCCTTAGATTTTAATAGTTTTTATTTTAATCCCAAATAATAATTAGGGTTAAATTATCATTCCAGTGCCTTGATTGTTTAACTTTTCTGTTATGGCCATTACTTTTGTTTGTTTTGTATTTTAATCCTCAAATTTTAATTTTTTAATTCTTCATAATATTATTGGTTTATTTACAATTGTAATGCC